ATTGGACAAAATCTTGAATTCAGGATTTTGGAAAGCTAAAATCTTGAAATCCTCAAAATCTTGAATTCAGGATTTTGGAAAGCTTAAATTTTAAAATCGGCCAAAATCTTCAATTCAGGTTTTTGGAAAGCTAAAATGTTGAATTTAGGCAATTTCTTGAATTCAGGATTTTGGAAAGATAAAATCTTGAAATCAGCTGAGAGCCTGAATTCAGGATTTAGGAAAGCTAAAATCTTGCAATCGGTCAAAATCTTGAATTCAGGATTTAGGAAGGCTAAAATCTTGAAATCGGCCAAAACGGTGAATTCAGGATTTTGGACAGCTAAACTCTTGAAATCGCGCAAAATCTTGAATTCAGCATTTTCGAAAGTTAAAATCTTGAAATCAGCTTTCCGAAATCCTGAATCTTGCTTTCATGATTTAAGAAAGCTAAAATCTCGAAATCGGCCAAAATCTTGATTTCAGGATTTTGGAAAGCTAAAATCTTGCAATCGACCAAAATATTGAATTCAGGATTTTGGAAAGCTAAAATCTTGAAATCGGACAAAACCTTGAATTCAGGATTTTGAAAAGCTAAAATGTTGAAATCAGCCGAGAACTTGAATTCAGGATTTTTGTGAGCTAAAATCTTGAAATCGACCAAAATCTTGAATTCAGGATTTTGGAAGGCTATAATCTAGAAATCGGCCAAAATCTTGAAATCAGCCAACCTCTTGAACTCAGGATTTTGGAAAGGTAAAATCTTCAAATCAGCCAAGACCTTGAATTCAGGATTATGGAAAGCTAAAATCTTAAAATCGGCCAAAATCTTGAACTTAGTATCTTGGAAAGCTAAAATCATGAAATAGGCCAAAATGTTGAATTCAGAATTTTGAAAAGCTAAAATCTTGATATCGCCCAAAATCTTGAATTCAGGATTCTGGAAAAGTAAAATTATCAAATCTGCGAAGATCTTGAATTCAGGATTTTCGAAAGCTAAAATCTTGAAGTCGGCCAAAATCTTGAATTCAGGATTATGGAAAGCTAAAATCTTAAAATCGGCCAAAATCTTGAAGTTAGTATCTTGGAAAGCTAAAATCTTGAAATCGGCCAAAATGTTGAATTCAGGATTTTGGAAAGCTAAAATCTTGAAATCAGCCAAGAACTTGAAGTCAGGATTTTGGAAACCTAAAATCTTAAAATCGGCCAAAATGTTGAATTTAGGATTTTACAAAGCAAAAATCTTTAAATTGGCCGAAACGTTGAATTCAGGATTTTGGAAAGCTAAGATCTTGAAATCAGCCAAGATCTTGAATTCAGGATCTTAGAAAGCTAAAGTCTTGAAATTGGCCAAAATCTTGAATTCAGAATTTTAGAAACCTAAAATCTTGAAATCGGCCAAAATCTTGAATTCAGGCAAGATCTTGGATTCATGATTTTGGAAAGCTAAAATCTTGAAATCAGACAAGATCTTGAACTCAGGATTTTGGAAAGCGAAAATCTTAAAATTGGCCAAAATCTTAAATTCAGGATCTTGGAAAGCTAAAATTTGCAAATCGGCCAAGATCTTGAATTCAGGATGTCGGACAGCTAAGATCTTGAAATGAGCCGAGATCTTGAATTCAGGATTTTGGAAAGCTAAAATCTTGAAATCAGCGAACATCTCGAATTTAGGATTATGGAAAGCTAAAATCTTGAGATCCGCCAAGATCTTGAGTTCAGGATTTTCGAGAGCTAAAATCTTGAAATCGGGCAAAATCTTGAATTCAGGATTTTGGAAAGCTAAAATCTTGAAATCGGGCAAAATCTTGATTTCAGGATTTTCGAAAGCTAAAATCTTGAAATCGGGCAAAATCTTGATTTCAGGATTTTGGAAAGCTAAAATCTTGAAATCGGCCAAAATCCTACATTCAGGATCTTAGAAAGCTAAAATTTTGAAATCGGCCAAAATCTTGCTTTCAGGATTTAGGAAAGCTAAAAATTTGAAATCGGCCAAAATCTTGAATTCAGGATCTTAGAAAGCTAAGATTTTCAAATCGGCCAAGGTCTTGAATTCAGGATGTTGGACAGGTAAAATCTTGAAATTGGACAAAATCTTGAATTCAGCATTTCTGAATGCTAAAATCTTGAAATCGGCGAAAATATTGAATTCAGGATCTTGGAAAGCTAAAATCATGAAATCATTCAAAATCTTGAAGTCAGGATTTTAAAAATCAAAAATCTTCAAATGGGACAAAATCTTGACCTCAGGATTTTGGAAAGCTAAGATCTTAAAATCAGCCAAGATCTTGAACTCAGGATTTTGGAAAGCAAATATCTTGAAATCGGCCAAAATCTTGCTTTCAGGATTTAGGAAAGCTAAAAATTTGAAATCGGCCAAAATCTTGCATTCAGGATATGGGAAAGCTAAAATCATGAAAACGGCCAAGATTTTGAACTCAGGATTTTGGAAAGCTAAAATCTCTAAATGGGCCAAAATCTTGAATTAAGGATCTTGGAAAGCTAAAATCTTGAAATTGGACAAAATCTTGAAATCACGATTTTGGAAAGCTAAAATCTTGATATCGCCCAAAATCTTGAATTCAGGATTCTGGGAAACTAAATTCTTGAAATAGGCCAAGATCTTGAATTCAGGATTTTCGAACGCTAAAATCTTGAATTCGAACAAAATCTTTAATTCAGTATTTTGGAAAGGTAACATCTTAAAATCGGCCAAAATCTTACATTCAGGATCTTGGAAAGGTAAAAACTTAAAATCGGCCAAAATCTTACATTCAGGATCTTGGAAAGCTAAAAACTTAAAATCGGCCAAAATCTTGAATTCAGGATTTTGCAACGCTAAAATCTTGAAATCGAGCAAAATCTTGATTTCAGGAATTAGAAAGGCTAAAATTTTCAAATCGGCCAAAATCTTGAATTCAGGATTTTGGAACGCTAAAATCTTGAAATCAGCAAAGATCTTGAATTCAGGACATAGCAAAGCTGAAATCCTAAAATCGGCCAAAATCTTGTATTCAGGATTTTGGAAAGCAAAAATCTTGAAATCAGCCAAGGTCTTGAATTCAGGATTTTGGAAAGCTAAAATCTTGAAATCGGCCAAGATCTTGAATTCAGGATTTTGGAGAGCTAAAATCTTAAAATTGGACAAAATCTTGAATTGAGGATTTATGACAGCTAAGATCTTGAAATCAACCAAAATCTTGAATTGAGGATTTTGGAAAGGTAAAATCTTAAAATCGGCCAAAATCTTGACTTTAGTATCTTGGAAAGCTAAAACATGAAATAGGCCAAAATGTTGAATTCAGGATTTTGAAAAGCTAAAATCTTGATATCGCCCAAAATCTTGATTTCAGGATTCTGAAAGACTAAAATCTTGGGATCCGCCAAGATCTTGAATTCAGGATTTTCGAAAGCCAAAATCTTGAAATCGGGCAAAATCTTGATTTCAGGATTTTGGAAAGCTAAAATCTTGAAATCGGCCAAAATCTTACATTCAGGATCTTCGAAAGCTAAAATCTTGAAATCGGCAAGAATCTTGCTTTCAGGATTTTGGAAAGCTAAAAATTTGAAATCGGCCAAAATCTTGAATTCAGGATCTTAGAAAGCTAAGAGTTTCAAATCGCCCAAGGTCTTGAATTCAGGATGTTGGACTGGTAAAATCTTGAAATTGGACAAAATCTTGAATTCAGCATTTCTGAATGCTAAAATTTTGAAATCGGCGAGAATATTGAATTCAGGATCTTGGAAAGCTAAAATCATGAAATCATTCAAAATCTTGAAGTCAGGATTTTAAAAATCTAAAATCTTAAAATGGGACAAAATCTTGACCTCAGGATTTTGGAAAGCTAAGATCTTAAAATCCGCCAAGATCTTGAACTAAGGATTTTGGAAAGCTACAATCTTAAAATTGGCCAAAATCTTGAATTCAAAATTTTGAAAAGCTAAAATCTTTAAATTGGCTTAAAGCTTGAGTTCACGATTTAGGAAGGCTAAAATCTTGAAATCGGCCAAAATCTTGAATTCAGGATTTTGCAAAGCTAAAATCTTGAAATCAGCCAAGAACTTGAATTCAAGATTTTGGAAAGCTAAAATCTTGAAATCAGCCACGATCTTGAACTCAGGATTTTCGAAAGGTAAAATCTTTAAATTGGCCAAAACCTCGAATTCAGGATTTAGGAAAGCTAAAATCTTGAAATCAGCCAAGATCTTGCTTTCAGGATTTAGGAAAGCTAAAATCTTGAAATCGTCCAAAATCTTGAATTCAGGATCTTGGAAACCTAAAATTTTCAAATCGACCAAGATCTTGAATTCAGGATTTTGGAAAGCTAAAATCTTGAAATCGGCAAAAATCTCGAATTCAGGATTTTGGAAAGCTAAAATCTTGAAATCAGCCAAGATCTTGAATTCAGGATTTTGGAAAGCTAAAACTTGAAATCGGCCAAAATCTTAAATTCAGGATTTTGGACAGCTAAGATCATAAAATCGGCCTAAATGTTGAATTCAGGATTTTGGAAAGCTAAAATCTTGAAATCGACCAAAATCTTGAATTCAGGATTTTGGAAACCTAAAATCTTAAAATCGGCCAAAATGTTGAATTTAGGATTTTGGAAAGCAAAAATCTTTAAATTGGCCGAAACGTTGAATTCAGGATTTTGGAAAGCTAAGATCTTGAAATCAGCCAAGATCTTGAATTCAGGATTTTAGAAAGCTAAAGTCTTGAAATTGGGCAAAATCTTGAATTCAGAATTTTAGAAACCTAAAATCTTGAAATCGGCCAAAATCTTGAATTCAGGCAAGATCTTGAATTCAGGATTTTGGAAACCTAAAATCTTGAAATCAGACAAGATCTTGAACTCAGGATTATGGAACGCGAAAATCTTAAAATTGGCCAGAATCTTGAGTTCAGGATCTTGGAAAGCTAAAATTTGCAAATCGGCCAAGATCTTGAATTCAGGATGTCGGACAGCTAAGATCTTGAAATGAGCCGAGATCTTGAATTCAGGATTTTGGAACGCTAAAATCTTGAAATCAGCGAACATCTCGAATTTAGGATTATGGAAAGCTAAAATCTTGAAATCAGCCAAGATCTTGCATTCAGGATTTTCCAAAGCTAAAATCTTGAAATCGGCCAAAATGTTCAATTGAGGATTTTGGAAAGCTAAAATCTTGAAATCAGCCAAGATCTTGAATTCAGGATTTTGGAAAGCTAAAATCTTGAAATCAGCCAAGATCTTGAATTCAGGATTTTGGAAAGCTAAAATCTTGAAATCGGTCAAAATCTTAAATTCAGGATTTTGGAAAGCTAAAATCCTGAAATCAGCCAAGATCTTGCTTTCAGGACTTAGGAAACCTAAAATCTTGAAATCGTCCAAAATCTTGAATTCAGGATCTGGGAAAGCTAAAATTTTTTAAATAGGCCAAGATCTTGAATTCAGGATGTTGGACAGCTAAAATCTTCAAATCCTCCAAAATCTTGAATTCAGGATTTTGGAAAGCTAAAATCTTGAAATCAGCCAAGATCTTGAATTCAGGATTTTGCAAAGCTAAAATCTTGAAATCAGCAAAGATCTTGAATTCAAGATTTTGGAAAGCTAAAATCTTGAAATCAGCCGAGATCTTGAATTGAGGATTTTGGAAAGCTAAAATCTTGAAATAGGGCAGTTTCTTGAATTCAGGATTTTGGAAATCTAAAATCTTGAAATCAGCTGAGAACCTGAATTCAGGATTTCGGAAGGCTAAAATCTTGCAATCGGCCAAAATCTTGAAATCAGGATTTTGGAAACCTATAATCTTGTAATCGGCCAAAATCTTGAACTGAGGATTTTGGACAGCTAAAATCTTAAAATCGGCCAAAATCTTGACTTCAGGATCTTGGAAAGCTAAAATTTTCAAATCGGCCGAGATCTTGAATTCAGGAAGTTGAACAGCTAAAATCTTGAAATCAGCCAGGATTTTGAATTCAGGATTTTGGAAAGCTAAAATCTTTAAATCGGCCAAAATCTTGAATTCAGGATTTTGGAAAGCAAAATTTTGAAATCAGCTGAGATCTTCAATTCAGGATTTTGGAAAGCTAAAATCTTGTAATCGGCCAAAATCTTGAATTGGGGATCTTGCAGAGCTAAAATCTTGAAATCGACCAAAATCTTGAATTCAGGATTTTGGAAAGCTTAAATCTTGAAATCGGCCAAAATCTTGAATTCAGGATCTTAGAAAGCTAAAATTTTTTAAATCGGCCAAGATCTTCAATTCAGGATGTTGGACACGTAAAATCTTGAATTTGGACAAAATCTTGAATTCAGGATTTCTGAAAGCTAAAATTTTCAAATCGGCCAAAATATTGAATTCAGGATCTTGGATAGCTAAAATCATGAACTCAGCCAAAATCTTGAAGTCAGGATTTTATAAATCTAAAATATTGAAATCGGCCAAAATCTTGACTTTAGGATTTTGGAAAGGCTAAAGTCTTGAAATCGGCCAAAACGGTGAATTTAGGATTTTGGACACCTAAAATCTTGAAATCGCCCAAAATCTTGAATTCAGCATTTTGGAAAGTTAAAATCATGAAATCAGGCTTTCCAAAATCCTGAATCTTGCTTACATGATTTTGGAAAGCTAACATCTCGAAATCGGCCAATATCTTGAATTCAGAATTTTGGAAAGCTAAAATCTTGAAATCAGCCAAGATCTTGAATTCAGGATATTTTACAGCTAAAATCTTGAAATCAGGAAAGATCTTGAATTTAGAATTTTGGAAAGCTAAAATCTTGAAATCAGCCAAGATCGTGAATTCAGGATTTTGGAAAGCTAAAATCTTGAAATTAGCCAAGATCGTGAATTCATTATTTTAGAAACCTAAAATCTTGAAATCAGCCAAGATCTTGAATTCAGGATTTTCGAACGCTAAGATCTTGTAATCGGCCAAAATCTTGAATTCAGGATTTTGGACAGCTAAAATCTTGAAATCGACAAAAATCTTGAATTCAGGATTTTGGAAAGCTAAAATCTTGACATCGGCCAAAATCTTGAATTTAGGATCTTGGAAAGCTAAAATCATGAACTCGGCCAAAATGTTGAATTCAGGATTTTGGAAAGCTAAGATCTTGAAACCAGCAAAATTCTTGAATTGGGAATTTTGGCCAGCTAAAATCTTGAAATCGACCAAAATCGTAAATTTAGGATTTTGGAAAGCGGCTAAAATCTTGAAATCAGCCAAGATCTTCAATTCAGGATTTTGGAAAGCTAAAATCTTGAAATCGGCCAAATTGTTGAATTCAGGATTTTGGAAAGCTAAAATTTTGAAATCAGCCAAGATCTTCAATTCAGGATTTTGGAAAGCTAAAATCTTGAAATCAGCCAAGATCTTGAATTGAGGATTTTGGAAAGCTGAAATCTTGAAATCACCCAACATTTTGAATTCAGGATTTTGGAAAGCTAAAATCTTGAGTTTAGGCAATTTCTTGAATTCAGGATTTTGGAAAGCTAAAATCTTGAAATCAGCTGAGAACCTGAATTCAGGATTTAGGAAGGCTATAATCTTGCAATCGGCGAAAATCTTGAATTCAGGATTTAGGAAGGCTAAAATCTTGAAATCGGCCAAGACGGTGAATTCAGGATTTTGGACACCTAAGATCTTGAAATCGCCCAAAATCTTGACTTCAGGATCTTGGAAAGCTAAGATTTTCAAATCGGCGGAGATCTTGAATTCAGGATTTTGGAAAGCTAAAATCTTGAGATCGGCCAAAATCTTGAATTCAGGATTTTGGAAAGCAAAATTTTGAAATCAGCCGAGATCTTCAATTCAGTATTTTGGAAAGGTAAAATCTTGAAATCAGCCAAGATCTTGAATTCAAGATTTTGGAAAGCTAATATCTTGAAATCGGCTAAAATCTTACATTCAGGATCTTCAAAAGCTAAAATCTTGAAATCGGCCAAAATCTTGCTTTCGGGATTTAGGAAAGCTAAAATCATGAAAACGGCCAAGATGTTGAACTCAGGATTTTGGAAAGCTAAAATCTTAAAATGGGCAAAAATCTTGAATGAAGGATCTTGGAAAGCTAAAATCTTGAAATTGGACAAAATCTTGAAATCACGATTTTGGAAAGCTAAAATCTTCATATCGCCCAAAATCTTGAATTCAGGATTCTGGAAAACTAAAATCTTGAAATAGGCCAAGATCTTGAATTCAGGATTTTCGAACGCTGAAATCTTGAAATAGAACAAAATCTTGAATTCAGTATTTTGGAAAGCTAAAATCTTAAAATCGGCCAAAATGTTACATTCAGCATCTTGGAAAGCTAAAAACTTAAAATCGGCCAAAATCTTACATTCAGGATCTTGGAAAGCTAAAAACTTAAAATCGGCCAAAATCTTGAATTCAGGATTGTGCAACGTTAAAATCTTCAAATCGAGCAAAATCTTGATTTCAGGAATTAGAAAGGCTAAAATTTTCAAATCGGCCAAAATCGTGAATTCAGGATTTTGGACAGCTAAAATCTCGAAATTGGCCAAAATCTTGAATTCAGGATTTTGGAAAGCTAAAATCTTGAAATCAGCAAAGATCTTGAATTCAGGACATAGCAAAGCTGAAATCCTAAAATCGGCCAAAATCTTGTATTCAGGATTTTGGAAAGAAAAAATCTTGAAATCGGCTAAAATCTTGAATTCAGGATTTTGCAAAGCTAAAATCTTTCAATCGGCCAAAATCTTATATTTAGGACCTTTGAAAGCTAAAATCTTAAGATCAGCAAAGATCTTGAAATTAGGATGTTGGAAAGGTAAAAGCTTGAAATTGGACAAAATCTTCAATTCAGGATTTTGGTCAGCTAAAATCTTGAAATCGACCAAAATCTTGAATTCAGGATTTTGGAAGGCTAAAATCTAGAAATCGGCCAAAATCTTGAAATCAGCCAACCTCTTGAATTCAGGATTTTGGATAGCTAAAATCTTAAAATCAGCCAAGACCTTGAATTCAGGATTATGGAAAGCTAAAATCTTAAAATCGGGCAAAATCTTGAACTTAGTATCTTGGAAAGCTAAAATCATGAAATAGGCCAAAATGTTGAATTCAGAATTTTGAAAAGCTAAAATCTTGATATCGCCCAAAATCCTGAATTCAGGATTCTGGAAAAGTAAAATTATCAAATCTGCGAAGATCTTGAATTCAGGATTTTCGAAAGCTAAAATCTTGAAATCGGCCAAAATCTTGAATTCAGGATTATGGAAAGCTAAAATCTTAAAATCGGCCAAAAACTTGAAGTTAGTATCTTGGAAAGCTAAAATCATGAAATCGGCCAAAATGTTGAATTCAGGATTTTGGAAAGATAAAATCTTGAAATCGACCAAAATCTTGAATTCAGGATTTTGGAAACCTAAAATCTTAAAATCGGCCAAAATCTTGAATTTAGGATTTTGGAAAGCTAAAATCTTTAAATTGGCCAAAATGTTCAATTGAGGATTTTGGAAAGCTAAAATCTTGAAATCAGCCAAGATCTTGAACTCAGGATTTTGGAAAGCGAAAATCTTAAAATTGGCAAAAATCTTGAATTCAGGATCTTGGAAAGCTAAAATTTGCAAATCGGCCAAGATCTTGAATTCAGGAGGTTGGACACCTAAGATCGTGAAATGAGCTAAGATCTTGAATTCAGGATTTTTTAAAGCTAAAATCTTGAAATCAGCCAAGATCTTGAATTAAGGATTTTGGAAAGCTAAAATCTTGAAATCAGCTAAGATCTTGAATTCAGGAGTTTGGAAAGCTAAAATCTTGAAATCAGCCAAGATCTTCAATTAAGGATTTTGGAAAGCTAAAATCTTGAAATCAGCCAAGATCTCGAATTCAGGATTTTGGAAAGCTAAAATCTTGAAATCAGCCAAGATCGTGAATACAGGATTTTGGAAAGCGAAAATCTTGAAAAAGGCCAAAATCTTGAATTCATGATTTTGGAAAGCTAAAATTTTGAAATCGGCCAAAATGTTGAATTCAGGATTATGGATAGCTAAAATCTCCCAATCGACCAAAATCTTGAATTCATGATTTTGGAAAGGTAAAATTTTGAAATCGGCCAAAGTCTTGAATTCAGGATTTTGGAATGCTAAAATCTTGAAATCAGCCAAGATCTTGAACTCAGGATTTTGGAAAGCGAAAATCTCTAAATTGGCCAAAATCTTGAATTCAGGATCTTGGAAAGCTAAAATTTGCAAATCGGCCAAGATCTTGAATTCAGGAGGTTGGACACCTAAGATCTTGAAATGAGCTAAGATCTTGAATTCAGGATTTTTTAAAGCTAAAATCTTGAAATCAGCCAAGATCTTGAATCAAGGATTTTGGAAAGCTAAAATCTTGAAATCAGCTAAGATCTTGAATTCAGGAGTTTGGAAAGCTAAAATCTTGAAATCAGCCAAGATCTTCAATTAAGGATTTTGGAAATCTAAAATCTTGAAAGCAGCCAAGATCTCGAATTCAGGATTTTGGAAAGCTAAAATCTTGAAATCAGCCAAGATCTTGAATACAGTATTTTGGAAAGCGAAAATCTTGAAAAAGGCCAAAATCTTGAATTCATGATTTTGGAAAGCTAAAATTTTGAAATCGGCCAAAATGTTGAATTCAGGATTATGGATAGCTAAAATCTTCCAATCGACCAAAATCTTGAATTCATGATTTTGGAAAGGTAAAATTTTGAAATCCGCCAAAATCTTTAATTCAGGATTTTGGACAGCTAAAATCTTGAAATCCACCAAAATCTTCAATTCATGATTTTGGAAAGCTAAAATTTTGAAATCGGCCAAAATCTTGAATTGAGGATCTTGGAAAGCTAAAATCATAAAATCGGCCAAAATGTTGAATTCAGGATTTTGGTCAGCTAAAATCTTGAAATCGACCAAAATCTTGAATTCAGGATTTTGGAAACGTAAAGTCTTAAAATCGGCCAAAATCTTGAATTTAAGAGTGTGGAAAGCTAAAATCTTTAAATTGAACAAAATGTTCAATTATGGATTTCGGAAAGCTAAAATATTGAAATCAGCCAAGATCTTGAATTCAGGATTTTACAAACCCTTGAAATCGGCCAAAAAATTCAGGATTTTGGAAAGACAAAAAATCAAGATTTTCAATTCAAGAAAGCTAAAATCTTTGAATCTTGAACTCAGGAGTTTGGAAAGCTTAAAATTGCCCAAAATCTTGAAATCAGCTAAGATCTTGAAATGAAGATCTTGCTAAAATTAAGCATTTTTAGAAAGCTTAAAATCAGCCAAAATCGGTCAAAATCTTCAGCCAAATTCAGGATTTTGGAAAGATAAAATTTTGAAATTGGTCAATATCTTAAAAATTTTGGAAAGATAAAATCTTTGGCCAAAATCTTGAATTCAGGATTTTTGACCACTAAAATCTTGACATCGACCAAAGTCTGGTATTCAGGATTTTGGAAGGCTAAAATCTTTAACTCGGCCAAAATCTTGAACTTACGATCTTGGAAAGCTAAAATCTTGAAAACGGCCAAAATCTTGAATTCATTATTTTGGAAAGCTAAAATCTTGAAATCGGACAAAACCTTGAATTCAGGATTTTGAAAAGCTATAATCTTGAAATCAGCCAAGATCTTGAATTCAGGATTTTGGTGAGCTAAAATCTTGAAATCGACCAAAATCTTGAATTCAGGATTTTGGAAGGTTAAAATCTAGAAATCGGCCAAAATCTTGAAATCAGCGAAGCTCTTGAATTCAGGATTTTGGAAACCTAAAATCTTGAAATCAGCCAAGATCTTGAATTCAGGGTTTTGGAAAGCTAAATTCTTGAAATCGGCCAAAATCTTGAACTTAGTATCTTGGAAAGCTAACATCATGAAATAGGCCAAAATATTGAAATCAGAATTTTGAAAAGCTAAAATCTTGATATCGCCCAAAATCTTGAATTCAGGATTCTGGAAAAGTAAAATTTTGAAATCCGCGAAGATCTTGAATTCAGGATTTTTGAAAGCTAAAACCTTAAAATCAGCCAAGACCTTGAATTCAGGATTATGGAAAGCTAAAATGTGAAAATCGGCCAAAATCTTGAACTTAGTATCTTGGAAAGCTAAGATCATGAAATAGGCCAAAATAATTGAAATCAGAATTTTGAAAAGCTAAAATCTTGATATCGCCCAAAATCTTGAATTAAGGATTCTGGAAAAGTAAAATTTAGAAATCTGCGAAGACCTTGAATTCGGGATTTTCGAAAGCTAAAATCTTGAAATCGGCCAAAATCTTACATTCAGGATCTTCGAAAGCTAAAATCTTGAAATCGGCCAAAATCTTGCTTTCAGGATTTAGGAAAGCCAAAAATTTGAAATCGGCCAAACTCTTCAATTCAGGATCTTAGAAAGCTAAGATTTTCAAATCGCCCAAGGTCTTGAATTCAGGATGTTGGACAGGTAAAATCTTGAAATTGGACAAAATCTTGAATTCAGCATTTCTGAATGCTAAAATCTTGAAATCGGCGAGAATATTGAATTCAGGATCTTGGAAAGTCTTGATATCATTCAAAATCTTGAAGTCAGGATTTTAAAAATCTAAAATCTTCAAATGGGACAAAATCTTGACCTCAAGATTTTGGAAAGCTAAAATCTTAAAATCCGTTAAGATCTTGAACTAAGGATTTTGGAAAGCTACAATCTTAAAATTGGCCAAAATCTTGAATTCAAAATTTTGGAAAGCTAAAATCTTTAAATTGGCTTAAAGCTTGAGTTCATGATTTAGGAAGGCTAAAATCTTGAAATCGGCCAAAATCTTGAATTCAGGATTTTGCAAAGCTAAAATCTTGAAATCAGCCAAGAACTTGAATTCAAGATTTTGGAAAGCTAAAATCTTGAAATCAGCCACGATCTTGAGCTCAGGATTTTGGAAAGGTAAAATCTTTAAATTGGCCAAAACCTCGAATTCAGGATTTAGGAAAGCTAAAATCTTGAGATCAGCCAAGATCTTGCTTTCAGGATTTAGGAAAGCTAAAGTCTTGAAATCGTCCAAAATCTTGAATTCAGGATCTTGGAAACCTAAAATTTTCAAATCGACCAAGATCATGAATTCAGGATTTTGGAAAGCTAAAATCTTGAAATCGGCAAAAATCTCGAATTCAGGATTTTGGAAAGCTAAAATCTTGAAATCAGCCAAGATCTTGAATTCAGGATTTTGGAAAGCTAAAATCTTGAAATCGGAAAAAATCTTGAATTCAGGATTTTGGAAAGCTAAAATCATAAAATCGGCCAAAATGGTGAATTCAGGATTTTGGAAAGCTAAAATCTTGAAATCGACCAAAATCTTGAATTCAGGATTTTGGAAACCTAAAATCTTAAAATCGGCCAAAATGTTGAATTTAGGATTTTAGAAAGCAAAAATCTTTAAATTGGCCGAAACGTTGAATTCAGGATTTTGGAAAGCTAAGATCTTGAAATCAGCCAAGATCTTGAATTCAGGATTTTAGAAAGCTAAAGTCTTGAAATTGGCCAAAATCTTGAATTCAGAATTTTAGAAACCTAAAATCTTGAAATCGGCCAAAATCTTGAATTCAGGCAAGATCTTGGATTTAAGATTTTGGAAAGCTAAAATCTTGAAATCAGACAAGATCTTGAACTCAGGATTTTGGAAAGCGAAAATCTTAAAATTGGCCAAAATCTTAAATTCAGGATCTTGGAAAGCTAAAATTTGCAAATCGGCCAAGATCTTGAATTCAGGATGTCGGACAGCTAAGATCTTGAAATGAGCCGAGATCTTGAATTCAGGATTTTGGAAAGCTAAAATCTTGAAATCAGCGAACATCTCGAATTCAGCATTATGGAAAGCTAAAATCTTGAAATCAGCCAAGATCTTGCATTCAGGATTTTCCAAAGCTAAAATCTTGAAATCGGCCAAAATGTTGAATTCAGGATTTTGGACAGCTAAAATCTTGAATTCGACCAAAATCTTGAATTCATGGTTTTGGAAAGGTAAAATTTTGAAATCGGCCAAAATCTTCAATTCAGGATTTTGGACAGCTAAAAGCTTGAAATCGGCCAAAATCTTGAATTCAGGATTTTGGAAAGCTAAAATTTTGAAATCGGCCAAAATCTTGAATTGAGGATCTTGGAAAGCTAAAATCATAAAATCGGCCAAAATGTTGAATTCAGGATTTTGGTCAGCTAAAATCTTGAAATCGACCAAAATCTTGAATTCAGGATTTTGGAAACCTAAAATCTTAAAATCGGCCAAAATCTTGAATTTAGAAGTTTGGAAAGCTGAAATCTTCAAATTGGCCAAAATGTTCAATTGAGGATTTTGGAAAGCTAAAATCTTGAAATCGGCGAAAATCTTGAATTAAGGATTTTGGAAAGCTAAAATCTTGAAATCAGCCAAGATCTTGAACTCAGGATTTTGGAAAGCGAAAATCTTAAAATTGGCCAAAATCTTGAATTCAGGATCTTGGAAAGCTAAAATTTGCAAATCGGCCAAGATCTTGAATTCAGGAGGTTGGACACCTAAGATCTTGAAATGAGCTAAGATCTTGAATTCAGGATTTTTTAAAGCTAAAATCTTGAAATCAGCCAAGATCTTGAATTAAGGATTTTGGAAAGCTAAAATCTTGAAATCAGCTAAGATCTTGCATTCAGGAGTTTGGAAAGCTAAAATCTTGAAATCAGCCAAGATCTTCAATTAAGGATTTTGGAAAGCTAAAATCTTGAAATCAGCCAAGATCTCGAATTCAGGATTTTGGAAAGCTAAAATTTTGAAATCGGCCAAAATGTTGAATTCAGGATTATGGATAGCTAAAATCTTCCAATCGACCAAAATCTTGAATTCATGATTTTGGAAAGGTAAAATTTTGAAATCGGCCAAAATCTTTAATTCAGGATTTTGGACAGCTAAAATCTTGAAATCCACCAAAATCTTCAATTCATGATTTTGGAAAGCTAAAATTTTGAAATCGGCCAAAATCTTGAATTGAGGATCTTGGAAAGCTAAAATCATAAAATCGGCCAAAATGTTGAATTCAGGATTTTGGTCAGCTAAAATCTTGAAATCGACCAAAATCTTGAATTCAGGATTTTGGAAACGTAAAGTCTTAAAATCGGCCAAAATCTTGAATTTAAGAGTGTGGAAAGCTAAAATCTTAAAATTGAACAAAATGTTCAATTATGGATTTCGGAAAGCTAAAATATTGAAATCAGCCAAGATCTTGAATTCAGGATTTTACAAACCTAAAATCTTGAAATTGCCCAAAATCTTGAATTCAGGATTTTGGACAGCTAAGATCTTGAAATGAGCCACGATCTTAAATTCAGGATTTTGGAAAGCTAAAATCTTGAAATCAGCCAAGATCTTGAATTAAGGATTTTGGATAGCTAAAATCTTAAAATCAGCCAAGATCTTGAATCCAGGAGTTTGGAAAGCTAAAATCCTGAAATCAGCCAAGATCTTGAATTAAGGATTTTGGAAAGCTACAATTTTGAAATCGGTCAATATCTTAAATTCAGGATTTTGGAAAGATAAAATCTTGAAATTGGCCAAAATCTTGAATTCAGGATTTTTGACCACTAAAATCTTGACATCGACCAAAGTCTGGTATTCAGGATTTTGGAAGGCTAAAATCTTTAACTCGGCCAAAATCTTGAACTTACGATCTTGGAAAGCTAAAATCTTGAAAACGGCCAAAATCTTGAATTCATTATTTTGGAAAGCTAAAATCTTGAAATCGGACAAAACCTTGAATTCAGGATTTTGAAAAGCTATAATCTTGAAATCAGCCAAGATCTTGAATTCAGGATTTTGGTGAGCTAAAATCTTGAAATCGACCAAAATATTGAATTCAGGATTTTGGAAGGTTAAAATCTAGAAATCGGCCAAAATCTTGAAATCAGCGAAGCTCTTGAATTCAGGATTTTGGAAACCTAAAATCTTGAAATCAGCCAAGATCTTGAATTCAGGGTTTTGGAAAGCTAAATTCTTGAAATCGGCCAAAATCTTGAACTTAGTATCTTGGAAAGCTAAAATCATGAAATAGGCCAAAATATTGAAATCAGAATTTTGAAAAGCTAAAATCTTGATATCGCCCAAAATCTTGAATTCAGGATTCTGGAAAAGTAAAATTTTGAAATCCGCGAAGATTTTGAATTCAGGATTTTTGAAAGCTAAAACCTTGAAATCAGCCAAGACCTTGAATTCAGGATTATGGAAAGCTAAAATCTTAAAATCGGCCAAAATCTTGAACTTAGTATCTTGGAAAGCTAAGATCATGAAATAGGCCAAAATAATTGAAATCAGAATTTTGAAAAGCTAAAATCTTGATATCGCCCAAAATCTTGAATTAAGGATTCTGGAAAAGTAAAATTTAGAAATCTGCGAAGACCTTGAATTCAGGATTTTCGAAAGCTAAAATCTTGAAATCGGCCAAAATCTTACATTCAGGATCTTCGAAAGCTAAAATCTTGAAATCGGCCAAAATCTTGCTTTCAGGATTTAGGAAAGCTAAAAATTTGAAATCGGCCAAACTCTTGAATTCAGGATCGTAGAAAGCTAAGATTTTCAAATCGCCCAAGGTCTTGAATTCAGGATGTTGGACAGGTAAAATCTTGAAATTGGACAAAATCTTGAATTCAGCATTTCTGAATGCTAAAATCTTGAAATCGGCGACAATATTGAATTCAGGATCTTGGAAAGCTAATATCATGAAATCATTCAAAATCTTGAAGTCAGGATTTTAAAAATCTAAAATCTTAAAATGGGACAAAATCTTGACCTCAAGATTTTGAAAAGCTAAAATCTTAAAATCCGCCAAGATCTTGAACTAAGGATTTTGGAAAGCTACAATCTTAAAATTGGCCAAAATCTTGAATTCAAAATTTTGGAAAGCTAAAATCTTTAAATTGGCTTAAAGCTTGAGTTCACGATTTTGGAAGGCTAAAATCTTGAAATCGGACAAAATCTTGAATTCAGGATTTTGCAAAGCTAAAATCTTGAAATCAGCCAAGAACTTGAATTCAAGATTTTGGAAAGCTAAAATCTTGAAATCAGCCACGATCTTGAGCTCAGGATTTTGGAAAGGTAAAATCTTTACATTGGCCAAAACCTCGAATTCAGGATTTAGGAAAGCTAAAATCTTGAGATCAGCCAAGATCTTGCTTTCAGGATTTAGGAAAGCTAAAGTCTTGAAATCGTCCAAAATCTTGAATTCAGGATCTTGGAAACCTAAAATTTTCAAATCGACCAAGATCTTGAATTCAGGATTTTGGAAAGCTAAAATCTTGAAATCGGCAAAAATCTCGAATTCAGGATTTTGCAAAGCTAAAATCTTGAAATCAGCCAAGATCTTGAATTCAGGATTTTGGAAAGCTAAAATCTTGAAATCGGCAAAAATCTTGAATTCAGGATTTTGGAAACCTAAAATCTTAAAATCGGCCAAAATGTTGAATTTAGGATTTTGGAAAGCAAAAATCTTTAAATTGGCCGAAACGTTGAATTCAGGATTTTGGAAAGCTAAGATCTTGAAATCAGCCAAGATCTTGAATTCAGGATTTTAGAAAGCTAAAGTCTTGAAATTGGCCAAAATCTTGAATTCAGAATATTAGAAACCTAAAATCTTGAAATCGGCCAAAATCTTGAATTCAGGCAAGATCTTGAATTCAGGATTTTGGAAAGCTAAAATCTTGAAATCAGACAAGATCTTGAACTCAGGATTTTGGAAAGCGAAAATCTTAAAATTGGCCAAAATCTTAAATTCAGGATCTTGGAAAGCTAAAATTTGCAAATCGGCCAAGATCTTGAATTCAGGATGTCGGACAGCTAAGATCTTGAAATGAGCCGAGATCTTGAATTCAGGATTTTGGAAAGCTAAAATCTTGAAATCAGCGAACATCTCGAATTCAGCATTATGGAAAGCTAAAATCTTGAAATCAGCCAAGATCTTGCATTCAGGATTTTCCAAAGCTAAAATCTTGAAATCGGCCAAAATGTTGAATTCAGGATTTTGGACAGCTAAAATCTTGAATTCGACCAAAATCTTGAATTCATGGTTTTGGAAAGGTAAAATTTTGAAATCGGCCAAAATCTTCAATTCAGGATTTTGGACAGCTAAAAGCTTGAAATCGGCCAAAATCTTGAATTCAGGATTTTGGAAAGCTAAAATTTTGAAATCGGCCAAAATCTTGAATTGAGGATCTTGGAAAGCTAAAATCATAAAATCGGCCAGAATGTTGAATTCAGGATTTTGGTTACCTAAAATCTTGAAATCGACCAAAATCTTGAATTCAGGATTTTGGAAACCTAAAATCTTAAAATCGGCCAAAATCTTGAATTTAGAAGTTTGGAAAGCTGAAATCTTTAAATTGGCCAAAATGTTCAATTGAGGATTTTGGAAAGCTAAAATCTTGAAATCGGCCAAAATCTTGAATTCAGGATTTTGGAAAGCTAAAATCTTGGAATCAGCCAAGATCTTGAACTCAGGATTTTGGAAAGCTAAAATCTTGAAATCAGCCAAGATCTTGAATTCAGGATTTTGGAAAGCTAAAATCTTGAAATCGGCCAAAATCTTGAATTCAGGATTTTGGAAAGCTAAAATCATAGAATCGGCCAAAATGTTGAACTCAGGATTTTGGAAAGCTAAAAAGTTGAAATCGACCAAAATCTTGAATTCAGGATTTTGGAAACCTAAAATCTTAAAATCGGCCAAAATCCTGAATTTAGGATTTTGGAAAGCAAAAATCTTTAAATTGGCCGAAAGGTTCAATTCAGGATTTTGGAAAGCTAAGATCTTGAAATCAGCCAAGATCTTGAATTCAGGATTTTAGAAAGCTAAAGTCTTCACATTGGCCAAAATATTGAATTCAGGACATAGGAAGGCTAAAATCTTGAAATCGGCCAAAATCTTGAATTCAGGATTTTGGAAAGCTAAAATCTTGAAATCACCCAAGATCTTGAATTCAGAATTTTAGAAACCTAAAATCTTGAAATCGGCCAAAATCTTGAATTCAGGATTTTGCAAAGCTAAAATCTTGAAATCAGCCAAGAACTTGAATTCAAGATTTTGGAAAGCTAAAATCTTGAAATCAGCCACGATCTTGAGCTCAGGATTTTGGAAAGGTAAAATCTTTAAATTGGCCAAAACCTCGAATTCAGGATTTAGGAAAGCTAAAATCTTGAGATCAGCCAAGATCTTGCTTTCAGGATTTAGGAAAGCTAAAGTCTTGAAATCGTCCAAAATCTTGAATTCAGGATCTTGGAAACCTAAAATTTTCAAATCGACCAAGATCTTGAATTCAGGATTTTGGAAAGCTAAAATCTTGAAATCGGCAAAAATCTCGAATTCAGGATTTTGGAAAGCTAAAATCTTGAAATCAGCCAAGATCTTGAATTCAGGATTTTGGAAAGCTAAAATCTTGAAATCGGCAAAAATCTTGAATTCAGGATTTTGGAAAGCTAAAATCATAAAATCGGCCAAAATGTTGAATTCAGGATTTTGGAAAGCTAAAATCTTGAAATCGACCAAAATCTTGAATTCAGGATTTTGGAAACCTAAAATCTTAAAATCGGCCAAAATGTTGAATTTAGGATTTTGGAAAGCAAAAATCTTTAAATTGGCCGAAACGTTGAATTCAGGATTTTGGAAAGCTAAGATCTTGAAATCAGCCAAGATCTTGAATTCAGGATTTTAGAAAGCTAAAGTCTTGAAATTGGCCAAAATCTTGAATTCAGAATATTAGAAACCTAAAATCTTGAAATCGGCCAAAATCTTGAATTCAGGCAAGATCTTGAATTCAGGATTTTGGAAAGCTAAAATCTTGAAATCAGACAAGATCTTGAACTCAGGATTTTGGAAAGCGAAAATCTTAAAATTGGCCAAAATCTTAAATTCAGGATCTTGGAAAGCTAAAATTTGCAAATCGGCCAAGATCTTGAATTCAGGATGTCGGACAGCTAAGATCTTGAAATGAGCCGAGATCTTGAATTCAGGATTTTGGAAAGCTAAAATCTTGAAATCAGCGAACATCTCGAATTCAGCATTATGGAAAGCTAAAATCTTGAAATCAGCCAAGATCTTGCATTCAGGATTTTCCAAAGCTAAAATCTTGAAATCGGCCAAAATGTTGAATTCAGGATTTTGGACAGCTAAAATCTTGAATTCGACCAAAATCTTGAATTCATGGTTTTGGAAAGGTAAAATTTTGAAATCGGCCAAAATCTTCAATTCAGGATTTTGGACAGCTAAAAGCTTGAAATCGGCCAAAATCTTGAATTCAGGATTTTGGAAAGCTAAAATTTTGAAATCGGCCAAAATCTTGAATTGAGGATCTTGGAAAGCTAAAATCATAAAATCGGCCAGAATGTTGAATTCAGGATTTTGGTCAGCTAAAATCTTGAAATCGACCAAAATCTTGAATTCAGGATTTTGGAAACCTAAAATCTTAAAATCGGCCAAAATCTTGAATTTAGAAGTTTGGAAAGCTGAAATCTTTAAATTGGCCAAAATGTTCAATTGAGGATTTTGGAAAGCTAAAATCTTGAAATCGGCCAAAATCTTGAATTCAGGAATTTGGAAAGCTAAAATCTTGGAATCAGCCAAGATCTTGAACTCAGGATTTTGGAAAGCTAAAATCTTGAAATCAGCCAAGATGTTGAATTCAGGATTTTGGAAAGCTAAAATCTTGAAATCGGCCAAAATCTTGAATTCAGGATTTTGGAAAGCTAAAATCATAGAATCGGCCAAAATGTTGAACTCAGGATTTTGGAAAGCTAAAAAGTTGAAATCGACCAAAATCTTGAATTCAGGATTTTGGAAACCTAAAATCTTAAAATCGGCCAAAATCCTGAATTTAGGATTTTGGAAAGCAAAAATCTTTAAATTGGCCGAAAGGTTCAATTCAGGATTTTGGAAAGCTAAGATCTTGAAATCAGCCAAGATCTTGAATTCAGGATTTTAGAAAGCTAAAGTCTTCACATTGGCCAAAATATTGAATTCAGGACATAGGAAGGCTAAAATCTTGAAATCGGCCAAAATCTTGAATTCAGGATTTTGGAAAGCTAAAATCTTGAAATCACCCAAGATCTTGAATTCAGAATTTTAGAAACCTAAAATCTTGAAATCGGCCAAAATCTTGAATTCAGGAGTTTTGAAAGCTAAAATCTTGGAATCAGCCAAGATCTTGAACTCAGGATTTTGGAAAGCTAAAATCTTGAAATCAGCCAAGATCTTGAATTCAGGATTTTGGAAAGCTAAAATCTTGAAATCGGCCAAAATCTTTAATTCAGGATTTTGGAAAGCTAATTCATAAAATCGGCCAAAATGTTGAACTCAGGATTTTGGAAAGCTAAAATATTGAAATCGACCAAAATCTTGAATTCAGGATTTTGGAAACCTAAAATCTTAAAATCGGCCAAAATCCTGAATTTAGGATTTTGGAAAGCAAAAATCTTTAAATTGGCCGAAAGGTTCAATTCAGGATTTTGGAAAGCTAAGATCTTGAAATCAGCCAAGATCTTGAATTCAGGATTTTAGAAAGCTAAAGTCTTCACATTGGCCAAAATATTGAATTCAGGACATAGGAAGTCTAAAATCTTGAAATCGGCCAAAATCTTGAATTCAGGATTTTGGAAAGCTAAAATCTTGAAATCAGCCAATATCTTGAATTCAGAATTTTAGAAACCTAAAATCTTGAAATCGGCCAAAATCTTGAATTCAGGAGTTTTGAAAGCTAAAATCTTGAAAGCAGCCAAGATCTTGAATTCAGGATTTTGGAAAGCTAAAATCTTGAAATCAGCCAAGATCTTAAACTCAGGATTTTGGAAAGCGAAAATCTTAAAATTGGCCAAAATCTTGAATACTCTATCTTGGAAAGCTAAAATTTTGAAATCGGTCAAAATCTTCAATTGAGGATCTTGGAAAGCTAAAATCATAAAATCGGCCAAAATCTTGAATTCAGGATTTTGGAAAGCTAAAATCTTGAAATCAGCCAAGATCTTGAACTCAGGATTTTGGAAAGGGAAAATCTTAAAATTGGCCAAAATCTTGGAAAGCTAAAATTTTGAAATCGGTCAAAATCTTCAATTGAGGATCTTGGAAAGCTAAAATCATTAAATCGGCCAAAATGTTGAATTCAGGATTTTGGTCAGCTAAAATCTTGAAATCGACCAAAATCTTGAATTCAGGATTTTGGAAACCTAAAATCTTAAAATCGGCCAAAATCTTGAATTTAGGATTTTGGGAAGCTAGAATCTTTAAATTGGCGAAAATGTTCAATTGAGGATTTTGGAAAGCTAAAATGTTGAAATTGGCCAAAATCTTGAATTCAGGATTTTGGAAAGCTAAAATCTTGAAATCAGCCAAGATCTTGAACTCAGGATTTTGGAAAGCGAAAATCTTAAAATTGGCCAAAATCTTGAATTCAGGATCTTGGAAAGCTAAAATTTGCAAATCGGCCAAGATCTTGAATTCAGGAGGTTGGACACCTAAGATCTTGAAATGAGCTAAGATCTTGAATTCAGGATTTTTTAAAGCTAAAATCTTGAAATCAGCCAAGATCTTGAATTAAGGATTTTGGAAAGCTAAAATCTTGAAATCAGCTAAGATCTTGAATTCAGGAGTTTGGAAAGCTAAAATCTTGAAATCAGCCAAGATCTTCAATTAAGGATTTTGGAAAGCTAAAATCTTGAAATCAGCCAAGATCTCGAATTCAGGATTTTGGAAAGCTAAAATCTTGAAATCAGCCAAGATCTTGAATACAGGATTTTGGAAAGCGAAAATGTTGAAAAAGACCAAAATCTTGAATTCATGATTTTGGAAAGGTAAAATTTTGAAATCGGCTAAAATGTTCAATTCAGGATTATGGATAGCTAAAATCTTCCAATCGACCAAAATCTTCAATTCATGATTTTGGAAAGGTAAAATTTTGAAATCTTCCAAAATCTTTAATTCAGGATTTTGGACAGCTAAAATCTTGAAATCCACCAAAATCTTTAATTCATGATTTTGGAAAGCTAAAATTTTGAAATCGGCCAAAATCTTGAATTGAGGATCTTGGAAAGCTAAAATCATAAAATCGGCCAAAATGTTGAATTCAGGATTTTGGTCAGCTAAAATCTTGAAATCGACCAAAATCTTGAATTCAGGATTTTGGAAACGTAAAGTCTTAAAATCGGCAAAAATCTTGAATTTAAGATTTTGGAAAGCTAAAATCTTTAAATTGACCAAAATGTTCAATTAGGGATTTTGGAAAGCTAAAATATTGAAATCAGCCAAGATCTTGAATTCAGGATTTTACAAACCTAAAATCTTGAAATCGGCCAAAATCTTGGAATCAGCCAAGATTTTCAATTCATTATTTTGGAAAGCTAAAATCTTGAAATCAGCCAAGATCTTGAACTCAGGAGTTTGGAAAGCGGAAATCTTAAAATTGCCCAAAATCTTGAATTCAGGATTTTGGACAGCTAAGATCTTGAAATGAGCCAAGATCTTGAATTCAGCATTTTGGAAAGTTAAAATCATGAAATCAGGCTTTCCAAAATCCTGAATCTTGCTTTCATGATTTTGGAAAGCTAACATCTCGAAATCGGCCAATATCTTGAATTCAGAATTTTGGAAAGCTAAAATCTTGAAATCAGCCAAGATCTTGAATTCAGGATATTTTACAGCTAAAATCTTGAAATCAGGAAAGATCTTGAATTTAGGATTTTGGAAAGCTAAAATCTTGAAATCAGCCAAGATCGTGAATTCAGGATTTTGGAAAGCTAAAATCTTGAAATTAGCCAAGATCGTGAATTCATTATTTTAAAAACCTAAAATCTTGAAATCAGCCAAGATCTTGAATTCAGGATTTTCGAACGCTAAGATCTTGTAATCGGCCAAAATCTTGAATTGAGGATTTTGAACAGCTAAAATCTTGAAATCGACAAAAATCTTGAATTCAGGATTTTGGAAAGCTAAAATCTTGACATCGGCCAAAATCTTGAATTTAGGATCTTGGAAAGCTAAAATCATGAACTCGGCCAAAATGTTGAATTCAGGATTTTGGAAAGCTAAGATCTTGAAACCAGCAAAATTCTTGAATTGGGAATTTTGGTCAGCTAAAATCTTGAAATCGACCAAAATCGAAAATTTAGGATTTTGGAAAGCGGCTAAAATCTTGAAATGAGCCAAGATGTTCAATTCAGGATTTTGGAAAGCTAAAATCTTGAAATCGGCCAAATTGTTGAATTCAGGATTTTGGAAAGCTAAAATTTTGAAATCAGCCAAGATCTTCAATTCAGGATTTTGGAAAGCTAAAATCTTGAAATCAGCCAAGATCGTGAATTCAGGATTTTGGAAAGCTAAAATCTTGAAATTAGCCAAGATCGTGAATTCATTATTTTAAAAACCTAAAATCTTGAAATCAGCCAAGATCTTGAATTCAGGATTTTCGA